AGATACACTGCAGGGGCCGTTTATATTCCAGCCCAGACCTCCCCCTCACTTGAGCCCTCCTCCCCCCGAGTCCCTAGGATATCTCAGAGACCCTGGAATTGAACAAGGTCAAGACCACATTCAGGATTGTCACTTCCCTCAACCTGTTTCTGCCCTGAGGTGGCATACCTTATGTCCAGGGGCTGAAGAACATCTTCCATAGTTATTAACATAAAAGTCATCTAAGACTGTTAAATATGCATGGGCAGATGACAGGACCATGAGTCATATTTGAGGTAGTGAGAATAAAACCTAGCCAATTCTTTTTAGATGAGGTGGGGAGGCGAGACAGGCCCGGTAATAGAGGTGGAAGACACCGTTCTAGGAGGGTTTTGTGGGTTGAGCTGGTTGGTGTCAGTGTTTTGCTTTGTTTTTATGGTGGGAGCAACTTCAGCATGTTAAAATATTTATGAAAGAATACCATTGATGGACAGTCAGAAAAAAATCTAATACTGCATGACTCCCCAGCAGACTGTGCATATATAAGAAGGAAAAAGTGAAGCCAGGTGTGGTGGCACATGCCTTTAATCCCAGCACTCAGGAGCAGAGGTAGGCAGAGCTCTGAATTCAAGGCCAGCCTGGTCTATCAAGCGAGTTCCAGGACAACCAAGGCTATTACACAGAGAAACCCTGTTGTGGAGTAGAATATTTGTTTAACTATGTAAAGATGTGTTGCTTTGTTTACATTGCAGAATAATTGTTTTTAACTATGTAAAGATGTGTTGCATTTGTTTACATTGCAGAATAATTGTTTTTAACTATGTAAAGATGGGTTACATTTGTTTAATTATGGAAACGTGTGTTGTTTTTGTTTATGCTGCATTTGTTTAACTGTGTAAAGATGTGTTGCTGCCTTTGGTAGACACCTGATTGGTCTAATAAAAAGCTGAACAGCCAATAGCTGGGCAGAGGAGGGATAAGCAGGGCTGGCAGGCAGAGAGAAATGGGGGTCCAGCCCGACAGAGGCCAGACAGACCCCAAGGAAGCAGGAAAGCAGGATGGGTAGTATGCAGATGAGGTAAACCTGCCTCAGGGTAGCACATAGATTAATAGAAATGGATTAATTTAAGTTGGGGGGAAGCTAGCTAGAAACAAGCCTAAGCTAAGGCCAAGCATTAATAATTAATAAAAAAGCCTCTGTATCATGATTTTGGGGCTGGCAGTCCAAGAAAGCACACTATAAAACCCTGTCTCGGAAAACCAAAAGAAAAGAAAAAGACCCCTGGCTGGGATGGTAGCAGCCCCTGTGCTGTAAGACGAGGGAAACACAGAGGGAGGAGATGATGGTTTCCTCTGGTAGAGGGGAGACAGTCAAAGGGGCTTTCCCTGGAAAGGAAGAGAGAGAGGATGTTATCTGTGAGGATGGTGTGTGTGTGTGTGTGAGAGAGAGAGAGGGGGGGGCGGGTGCTGTAGAAAAAAAAAGAAAACAACGTCCTGGTGACATGGAGTGTTGACAGTCCCCAGGTCAGGCAGGGCAATTGGAGGGTGCTCTGGACTGGATGACCACGTCCCCATTCAGATGTTGTAAAACAATCCCCAGTGATTATGTTCAGTGTTTGCAGGTGGAGCCACTGCGGGGTAATGAGGCAGAGACTTCAGGAAATGGATTGTTGCCTTCATAAAAGAGTTCCCTTGCCCATGATCATGCCCTTGATCATGCCCATTTGATCATGTGAGGACATAGCAAAAAGTTACTATCAATTAATCAGAAAGGGAACTTTTACCAGATACCAAGTCAGCCTTGATCTTAAACACCTGGAGGCCCTTGAGAATCCATCTCCAGTGTCTAAGCCACCCAATCCATGGTACTTTTCTTATACCAAACAGACAGTGAGATGGGTGGTAAGCATGGAGTCCAGTTAGGTCCACCATGTCCCCTCTGTGAGTTGGACAGTAGCCGGCTGTCCTGGATAGAGAAGTAATTTGAGAAATCCACAGAGTCTATTCAATGAGCAAAGGAATTTCTTGGAGGGTAACTCACTACAGCACTGGTATTTATGGCAGGGTCCAGGAAAGTCGAGCCATGTCCCACGCTGATCTTCTGCCTGGTTCAAGATCTGCCTGGTCCATCCCAGCATCCACACCACGGAGGATCAAAGAGAGTGCCGAGTACATGCATCCCAGGTCTTAAGGGTTCCCGAGCGGGCATGCCCAGGGGGCATGCACTTCAAGGTCATAGGCAGGTGTAGCAGTTACCTGCTGCCTCATTAGGGGCGGTGCTTCAAGGTCATAGCTGGACCAGCTACCCACTACAGAGAAGTACAGTGGCAACCACTGTAATCGCTGTCTTCAATTAATAAGAAGCAAGCAGGCATTGGAAAGATGGCTTATGTGTGAAGCACCTGCCATGAAAGCATGAGGAACTGAATTTGAACCCCCAAACCCATGTAAGGCCAGACTTGGAGGCACATATCTGTAATCCCGGTGCTCTTTCAAGGATATTAGAGGCAGACAGGAGAGCCCTACAAGCTTGAGCCAGGTAGCCTGGTGTTCACAATGGCGAACACCAAAGAGACCCTGTCTCAACGTGGAAGGCAAAGACTGACACCTGAGGCTGTCCTCTGACTGACCGAATGCCATGCTGTGACACACTTGCATCAACACTTAAACACACACACACACACACACACACACACACACACAGAGAGAGAGAGAGAGAGAGAGAGAGAGAGAGAGAGAGAGAGAATTTTGGTTTTTTGTTGTTTGGCTTTTGTTGTTTTGGTTTTGAAGGGAATTTTTAAAGCCCTGGATGGCCTGGAACTTCCTATGTAGACCAGACTGTCCTTGGATTCCAGAGCTCAGTCTGCCTCTGCCTCCCAAGTGTTGGGATTAAAGGCAGTGCACCTCCATGCCCAACACACATAAAGACTTTTTAAATGGAAATAAAGCAAACAGGAAGGAGAGAAAGGGTGATAAAGTTGACATTTTAAAAAAGCAGAATTTTGACTAGAGTGAGAGAGGTATGGCTGGCCTTTGGGAGACTGGGGGCTCAGACGTGACTGGACCCACAAGAAGAGCTGAAACTTGGACTGTGTTTTGTGAGGTTTGGACCTGAAGAAGCTTGAGGGAAGTTTCAAGGTTCACAAAGGCTGATTTGCTTACCTTTATGCCAATGCTCTTGAAAATTGGGAAGAAAGGGATAATTGGGGGGGGGGGTGCTACTTTTGTATGTATGTGTGTGTGTGCATAATTGTGTGTGAGGTACACATATGTATGCAGATTTATACTCGTGTGTATGTGCGTGCACGTGCATGTGTGTTCATACATTTGGAGGCCAGAGGCTAACCTCAGGTGCTGTTCCTCTGGTGCCATCTGTCTTTCTTTTGACATTGGCTGTGATTGGCCTGACATTTGGCAAGTAGTCCAGGATGGTTGGCAGCAAGCCTCAAAGATCAGACTGTCTCTGCCTCCCCAGCACTGAGGTCATAAGTGCATGCTCCCACACCTGACTTTTTCACACGGGTTCTGGGGGCAGAACTTAGGTCTCTGCTAGCAAAGTGGGCGCTTTATTAACTGAGCCAGTTCCCCAGCCCTGTCTGTGTACTTTGTTCGAAAGAAAACATGCTTTATCACAACCAGTTCTTGGAGTTTCGTTTTGGGGACTTTGTTTTTGTTTTTTGTGTTTATTTGTTTATGGTGTGAATAATAATGTAGTACACAGCCCTGTCTGTGTACTTTGTTGGAAAGAAAACATGCTTTATCACAACTAGTTCTTGGAGTTTCGTTTTGGGGGCTTTGTTTCTGTTTTTGTGTTTATTTGTTTATGGTGTGAATAATGTAATAATAATAGTGTGAATAATAATAATAATGCACGTCATGCACTTGCAAGTGGATGTCCTCATACTTTCATGGCAGGTGGCTCACACAGGAGCCAGCTTTCCAATGCCTGCTTACTTCTTATTAATTGAAGATAGCAATTACAGCGGTTGCCACTGCACCTCTCTGTAGTGGGTAGCTGTTCTAGCTATGACCTTGAAGTGAGGCAGCAGGTCAGACTCACAGAGGGGACATGGTGGACCTAACTGGACTCCATGCTTACCACCCATCTCACTGTCTGTCTGGTTGCTGTATAAGAAAAGTACTATGGATTGGGTGGCTTAGACACTGGAGATGGATTCTCAAGGGCCTCCAGATATTTAAGATCAAGGCTGACTTGGTATCTGGTGAAAGTTCCCTTTCTGATTAATT